GCGCCTCCCGCCCAGCCCCCTCCCGCCCTAGTCGCTCGCCCCCTTCTCTTTCCTCCGCCTTCCTCCTTCCTTCTCTCCCTTCGCTCCCTTCCTCCCCCCAGACGCCTCTTCCTTCTCTTCCCACGCGCAGTGGCCCCTCCTCTTCCTTCCGAGGCTTCCTTGGTCTAGAATTTCGCCCCGCGGCTCTCCTCCGGGCGCGGGCGCCTCCCCTTTTCTTAGCGCCCTTCTTCTGGGTGACTCACTGTCGGCTCCCCGAAGCGGGGAACTTGACCGGGGCCAGGAAGGGGCGTCTTCAGAGCATCTGTAAATCCCCGCAGCCGGGCGACTTAACTCAGGTCTGGCTTGCTAGGGGAAACGATGGACAACTATCTCATGAAACCGGGACGGACCCTGAGCTGTGAATGGACTCGCATTCATGGCTCTTTCTTCCCCACTCTCGATCCCCATCTAAAGTAAAATGCGTGTAAATCTCCGCTTTAGACTGAAAGCTTTTTAAGGGCAGGGTGCATTTTCTTATGGGCCGGGAAACACACTCTTCAGTGTATCCACACTGAACGACTTGGGGGGAGGGGAGAAGGTATCTAAACCACGGAAGTGTTCCGTTGTATTCAGCAAATTAAATTTGCCTGGGTAGGTAGAGTCGATCTTTATTATGCTAAGTATAACCACCTGACAACGAATGCCAGGTTCTCTGGTTTTCGCGAGGCGGGGGTGACGATCAAAGGAGAATTTGTCAGCGCAGATGGAACAAGGGTACTACTCCATGTGTCCTGAAACAACTCAAATGTGTCCCCAAAATGTTAAGACATTTTAAATGATTGAAATCCTTACCTCAAAGAACCCGATTGTTCATTAGAGTAACTTTTAGTAATTAGCAGCTAACAGTTTATTAAGCAATTATTATGTGCCAGGCACACACCAGGAACTCTACATACATTTTTACAGGCTCACAACATATGTTTACATATATAGGTTCACTAATAATGTCACCAAGAGACTTCAAAGTGATTCTTTAAAACGTTCAAACTCGGAGTAGGGTAATTGAGGCTCTGGATGGCATGTTGTAGGGTTGTAACCCTCAGAAACAAGTTAAATAAGCCTCCTACTCAATAAGATTTTCGTTACAAAACAGCGCTGTGAGTGGCTAGCCCACAGATAAACATTATTACTTTAATGGCCGTCCTCCAGAGAGTTCAAAATGTTTTACAAATAACTTTTACCCCTTGAAAAGCCTGGTTCCGGCTACAATCAGCTGGGGGGCTGGAGTCTACAGAGCAGAAAATAAAAGAGGCAAATAAAAGGGGGAAAGACTCAGGAACAGGAGGCGTGTAAACAGTGAGGGCCTTGCAAAACAACCAAACACTGACAGGCATGCGACCCTCTGGGCAAAATCCTAGACCTTTCCTCATAAAGAGGGGCCGCTGTCACTTCCCCAAAGTGTTAAACATGGAATTAGCATATGAGCCGGCAACTCCACTCCCTAGGCATATACCCAAGAGAAATGAAAACATATGTCCACACAAATGCCTGTTATTGGTAGCATTGTTCATAATAGCCAAAAAGTGGGCTCAACCCAAATGTCCACCAGCTGATGAGTGGATAAACAAAATGTGTGTATCCGTACAACAGAATAATTCATCTACAATAAAAAGGAATGAATTACTGATGCATGCTACAACATGATGAACCTTAAACACATTATGCTAAGTGAAAGAAGCCAGCCACAAAACACCACATATAATACTCAGTATGAAATGTCCGAATATAAATTGGGAGTAGGGTTAAGAAGGCCTCATTGAAGGTGTCATTAAACAGTGACCAGAAGAATCAGTAGGGAGTGACCATTAAACAGGGGGTGGGAGCAGAGGAATCCAGGCAGGGAAGCAGCCGTGCAGGTCCCTGGGATGGGAAAGAGTCTGGTACATTCCAGAGACTAAAAGAGGAGGTCAGGAGGCTCAAGCCCAGTGAGTGAGAGAAACTATGACAATGCTGGGAGGTGAAGGGTCAGCAGGGGTCAGATCTGGTGGAGCCTCACAGGCCATATATAGTGAGGAAAGAAATTTCCACGTATGGAGGTATGGGGAAGTCTTACTGGGTTATACATGAGTTAACTCAAATTTTATGCTAAAATAGCCTGTTTGTGGCTTATCAAACATACATTGTACATCTGCTTTAATTTTTAAAGAAAAGGGTGCATAGACCAGAAGATAAGAATGTCCATGTTAAAAATAAAGATTCAATGCCTCCCTTTCTGGGACAACAATGCTGGAACTCATTCGATGCTAAGACTCCCTTCCCAGGGGCCAAGGCCACACTAAGTCACTGCGTTCATGCTGATCTGGTTTGTTTGGGTTTTTTTTTTTTTAAACTTGAAGGAATGTATCCATGATTTATGTGATGTTCTTTGTTCTGACAAGACATAAAACTGCACTGAAAACCATGCTTCTCTGGAGCAGTTCCTCAGAGTTATCTCAGAGACTGTCTTCTGTGCTATAGTCCTCAGTTTGGCTCAAATGAAACTCTTTTCTATTCCTATTATAGATTGTTTATTTTTGTCAACAATAGGATTTGGGAGTGTATCCTCATGCTATCGGGAGCCTTTGAAGAGGTTTCAGCATGGTGGTATCGTGATCTGGTTTGTGTTTTCTCTCCAGGTGCTGCATAGGGAATGGGAATCCAGAAGGAAGGCTTTTGGAGTTGTCTGGGCAAAAAATGGTACAGCTTCACCCTCCAAGTGACAGTGGAGACAGAGAGTAATAGATCCAAATGTATTTTAGAGGGAGTTTCTGGGACTTGACAAAGACCTGGATATAGAAATGAGGAAGAAGGTATCAAAGATGGCCCCAGGCTCCTGGCATGATAAGTCAGGTAGACAGCTATGAACTCTACTGAACACTGACTGCAAAGAAAACATGGGATAAGGAGTCCATGTGGTGGTGGTGACTGGGATGGGCAAGATCAGTTTCAGTTTCAGACTCATTAGGCTTAAGATGCCTGGGAGATATTCAAGTATGCATGTCAGTCTGTCAGGTGGGCACTCATCAGTGCCTGGATGAGTTAAGGATTTGAATCAATAAAAGTTGGTCAGGTTCCAGTCTAGATAAAAGAGGTTAACTCAGATGAAACCTTCCCTTTATGTAGGTTCCACTACATACAATATTGTCTTTCCCTGATGAGTCACAAAGTTGCTACCTATAAAGTCAAATATGCATTCCACTGAACATTATCTTTGGATCTGTTTCAGGCTGTGAGTCAGTTAGAATTAGGTTCAGATACATTATAACAGAAACATATAAAGAGGGGAGAGCGGAAAAACCTCCTCCCCATACATAACCAATGGTAGCAGTTTGGAGTGTGTGTTTTCTTAAAGATAAATTATCACAGAATAAATAGCTGTCCAAGCGTGTTTGACATTTTCATTACATCTATATTTTTAAAAGAAATTTTTTCCTTCACAGAACCCTATTAAGAGTTCATGAACTAGTAATCTGGGTAATGCAATTTGAGAAATTCTATTCTGAGAGCACCACATTGCATAAGCTCTACTGAGGGTCAAGCCAGAATCTGTGTGATGGTTACTCTTGTGTGTCAATTTGATTGGGCTAAGGGGTGCCCAGAGAGCTGGTAAACATTATTTCTGGGTGTGTCTAGGAGGGTGTTTCCAGAAGAGGTTAGCATTTGAATCAGTAGACTGAGTGAAAAAGATCACCCTCACCAATGCAGGTGGGCATCATCCTATCCACTGAGGGCCTGAATAGAAAAGGCAGAGGAAGGGTAATTTCCCTCTGTCTCTTCTTAAGTGGGGACTTCCATCTTCCTCTGCCCTTGGACATTGGTGCTACTTGTTCTCTGGCTTCAGACTTGGATTGGGATTTACACCAATGCTTTCCTGGTTCTTCAGCCTGCAAATGACAGATTGTGAGTCTTTTTTTTTTTTTTTTTTTAGTTTTTTTTTTTTTTTTTTTTTTTTTTTTTGCCGGTACGCGGGCCTCTCACTGCTGTGGCTTCTCCCATTGCGGAGCACAGGCTCCGGACGCACAGCCCCAGCGGCCATGGCTCACGGGCCCAGCTGCTCCGCGGCATGCGGGATCCCTCCGGACCGGGGCACGAACCCGGGTCCCCTGCATCGGCAGGCGGACTCTCAACCACTGCGCCACCAGGGAAACTCATTGTGAGACTTCTTAACCTCAGATTGCGTGAGCCAATTCCTATAGTAAATCTCAATCTCTCTCTCTCTTTCTCTCCATCTATATCTATATCAATATCAATATGATGATATCTAGATAGCTCTTGATATATAGATATAAATATATATTGTCTCCTGTTAGTTGATGATGTTTCTCTAGGGAACCCTAATACACTCTGTGTCTCCCAGGATTGCAGAGAGTAAACCCATGTGGTGTAGAGAAATTGTTACTTGTGCCTCTAACAGTAACTGTTCTACCATTATATATATGCCCGGGGGTGTGCTAGAACTAGGAAGACAACAGCAAACAAAACAAGCACAATTCATGCCCTCATGGAGCAAGAGTCTCCAGTCAGAGAGAAAGCATGTATCAGATAATTACAAACACAAATGTAAATATTAACTGAAAATCCTGATAAGTGCTGGGGAAGAGCCACACAGGTGTTAAATGGGAATTTGGCCTATTCCGAGAGGTCACTGAGGAACTGACAATTGAGCTGATATCTGTGGGCTGAGGAGTTAATGGGTAGAGGTGAAAAGGATGTGACGTGGAGAGGGACGAAGTGTTCCCAGGGAAAGTGTTGTCAAAGAACTAGAACAGGAAACTGAAAAAGGCTCTGTGGCTGGAGCACTCCGGGCTGAGATACAGCCCCCGAAGACGGAGTGAGGGCCCATCCCACCTGCTTCTGCACCAGACTCACTTCTTTGCTGAAGAACACTAAGTGTGAGGGACTTCCCTGATGGTCCAGTGCTTAAGACTCTAT